GGTGTATAGAGCCAAAGATGTTAGAATTGTGTCGATGTCCCAATATTTCTGGACCTGACTGTATGTTCTCATTTTTTGTGTGGCCTTATATCTGATCAGTAGATGATTTTCCTTTTAGTACTGAATTTTGAAAAAGTCATATGCATCGTTTAAGGAACTTCATTCTTGATTTTAAATTCTCAATTTCAACGAAGACTAAATGTTTTAAAGTGTGTGTGCATTTAATAGCATGTAATGTGCATTTGCACAGAAGTCAACTGTGTAGAATCATAAAGCTGCAGGAGACTCCAAAAATAATCTACTCTGGTTCTTGAGTATTTTCTGTAAGTTCTTCCAGCTGAAATGTTAATTTGTTTTTTGTATTATAGGAGAAGGAGAGCATTGCCAAATGCATTTTGGACCTGAAAGCGCTGTCAAAGACTGCACGAGCATCTCTTTAAGCCGAACACTAAATTGTAACTTCCAAAATTGTACAATTTCTATTCTTAATTAAAACATATGTATCTTAGTTTGTTGTACTCTCTAATAGCACCTTGAACATGTTCCACTCCTGATATTTTAATACATCACAGTATTCAGAAAATATATACCTTTGCAAATGAAACCACAAAATGACGTAAATGAAATTGAATATTTGTCTTGTCTAAGTATGACTAATAGTGTTGTACACACTTAACAATGATTCAGAAGAAGTGCTTTGGACTGCAGATGCTTAACAATGCCTCTCTGCTATTCATTAAATCAGCCTGACTCTTCTAAAGCTTCCTTACAAGCCTGAAGAAATGTTTTCTTGTGTTAAGAAATCCACTCACTGAAGTTAATGACTCTCTTAAAACAGTGGCACACCTGTGGCATTGAATCTGAGTTTATCAATTTGAGATTTTATGAAACTTCAACAGCAGTTTGATATTCAGTAGCTTAGGAAATAATACTTTCAAGGTTTAACACTGTCTACTAAGGTCTCTTAACTGCTTTTCTTTAAATGCAGTAGATGTCCAGTAGCAACCTTAGTACTTGGCAGCCTAAGTTCACAGTAATCTAGCAGCATGTATACCTTGTGGCTAAACAAGAAGTATTCACGGGTGTGTTTAATACAGAGATGAAAATGTCAAATACACTGCGTACACAATTATTAGGCAAGTTGTATTTTTGAGGATGGATTTCATTATTGAACAGCTACGGTGCTCTCAGTCAATCCAAAATGTTAATAAACCTCAAACCTGAATATTTAAGAAAGTAAAAGTGTGTTGGTTGAGAATGTGTATGTATGTGTAGCTTGTATGCAGATGATACCATCTTGAGCACATGAATGA